ACATTCTAGAAAAGCCTGCTGAGTAGCGGTGACGAAAATCAGTTACCGTAATAGCATAAATTGCTACGTTATGGTGAGGTGCGGGGGGGGTCCGAGAGTGGGTACGTACCTCTGACCAGCTGGAGTGTGACAGCAGCAAGATGGTTCCTTTGGATGGCCAACAGTAGTATGTTGATAGTGTCTTCACTATGGGAAGGGGAGAGGTTAAAAATGGTTGGCCCTCAAAGTAGCACACCCCTGCCTTCCCTGCTGAGAGGTGCCAGTGGTTCTTCCTACCCACTGTTAGAATAACAAAATCTCGAAGCAAAAGTCCTGAAAAGGCTGTGTTTGACAGACATCAAGAAGTAATATGGGCTCTGTGGTCACACAAATCGTTTTCTCCTTCAGGTACACCGCAGAAACAATTTACACAGTGTAGCAGCCGGAAAGTGTCAGCCACCCGCACGCTCCCAGTAGCACACAAGGTTCCATCGAAAGTACACTATGCTCCTTACCTTTATCTCAGCTTCTTTCACTTCCTGATACCATTATTAAACCCATTAAAACTTCCTCAGCCTCTCATTCTGAGACCACCGCCAACGATTAAAGCCACTGAAACCTGATTCCTAGTCTCCTAAGACACCACTGTAGATTTCACATTGCAGCTCTCAATGCTAGAACCCTACGCCAAATCGAAGAGCAGACATTGCTGGTCAGACCTCTGGAATCTCTAGCCACGCATGTACTTTGTATTTCTGAGACACATAAGGAGGGTCCTAATCTGGTGATTAATTTGACTTAACTTGGCCGTCGGAGTGAACTTATGTGTGAACCTTATGTCTGAACTTACTGGTGTAAGCATAACACTAACCTATAAAGCAGAAAGAACATTTCTCGACTGGATACCAATGAAAATTCATCTGTGTGCTGTTTGACTAAATGGATCTGTAAGAACTAAGAAAGATCGGAGACTAGCCGATGCCTATCCGTAATTTCCGTCTACGCACCCACTGGTTGCAGATCGGGTGGTGCAAAGAATAAATTCCATCAAAAGCTGACAATTCCACTACATAAAGCCAAGCACTCAGACATAATCACAATAGCAGATGACTTCCTCACTCAAATAGGAAAGCTGAGCCAGATGGGATGGCATCCTGGAGGTATCTACGCTATCCTATGCCAATGAAAAGACAACGGTGATCGTGTTGCAATTTTGTCCTGACAATCACTTGTTTCTGATCAGTACTAACTTCAAGTGTAAGGAGAAAGAGACACTATCTCACATGGCGTCCTCCAACATCAAACCAATGAGGAACACAGATACATCATATTGATATAAGCCATCGTTGGAGCGGACCGATGGGGGATTTCCGTCACTTCTGTAGTACCCGTTTGGACTCCGATCACGCGTGTGTCTGCACTTTACTGGCCGCTGAAAACAGGTGGCGATTAAGCGTATGCGTACTCCATTGGAAGATTCGAAAGTCAAGTATGTATTCAAGGAGGAGGAGGAAACGTGGCGTGATATTCAGTCTATTGTAGAAACAGAGGTAAAGACAGTTGGTAACCTACATCCAAAGGTTAGAAAACGTCATTGGGTTTCTGCTAAGTCATCTGAACTGATTGTGTGAGAAGACTTATTCCAGCTGTCGCTGACCCCAATGAATGGTGAAAGCAAGAGATGTTGAGGACATCAGTACTAAGCAGTACGCAGCAGGTACTTAGACTTATGAGGAATACAGGCAAGAAGAAGACGATGGTTAGTGAAACCACCACCATAGGGTGGGATGATCAGTGAAGTGTACCAGTCTGACAGGACTGCCCCTGATTCCCATACACTACCTAGTACCTCCGTCAATTTAGTGGAAAGTTCCTTACCTTCGTCCTTGAAAACTTCGGATGGCAGACTGTTAGGTACTGCTGCTTCGCATCGTCTCGGGTTCAACACATCCTTCTTAACTTAGTGGAAATTTGTAGGACCGATATATACTGTTTTTCAGGTTCAGGTCAGATGTTAGACAAATGAAGCATTTCTGAGAACCAATTCGACTGTGCTTCAAAGTGCTCTAGCCGCGTGTCTGAGGTTATCAGAGGTTCATCTTTTTCGGTGATGGTTCCACTCACCATCTTCTTACCGGTATCCTTAATAAGCTCAAATAGTTACCGTTTTACGCAACGCGGATTCCTTCTCTACCTCTCTTGCTTTCGCCACTAACCACTGCTCACGATCGACGCCAGGACTCTTGGTCAACTTACATTTAAGTTGCTTTCACACTTCTTCGTAGTCAAAGCCAGTTGGAATCAATCTTCTCGCGCCAATCAGTCCGGATGAGGTAGCGGGAATTCAATGGCCTTTGCTAACCAGGAGTAGGTTACTAAGTCTTTACCGCCGTTTCTACAACAGATCTGATCTAAACAAGTAGATTGCTAGTAATTCCGAAACCTTCTGGTTTTATAAGCAAAACGGAATGAGTTAACTTATCGAAAGCCTTACTAAAGTCCATGAAAATGATGTCTACAGGCTTCCTAACATTCTCAGACCAAATTCAACTTTCTTTGGGGTTTGGGAAGCATGAGGAACTCCTGCGTAAACCATGTTACGAATGACAATAAAGGGTGTTGCTCTGTAGGTGAACCATACTGCTTAGCTTGATTACTCTTCCTAGGGTTTTAACTACATAATTATTCGAGCTTATTCATCTGTAGTTTTATGGGTTATCTAGAACCAGGATTACAGATAGATGTGAATATGGCGTCATGTCATATGAGAGAACACAATTGACTGAGGGACAAACAAAACATAGTCAATAAACTAAATACATAGGGTGCAAGCTCTCTGGAGCACCCTCAAGTCCTGTTAAAGTACATATATCTAGAATATTTGCTGTCCTGTTTCACTGTAATGGATATCTAAAACGTTTACACTGTTAAGTGTCCACTAGAAGTTCCTGGGTTGGAAGACTGTAGAGATATCCCTAGCCAATGTTTCTGACTTGTCATTATCGTCACTAATTGGTTAGTTTCTGTTCCTACGATTAAGATGGGGATACAATGGGAAAGTTTACTCCTATAGTTTACACAGGAAAAGCCTCTTCGGGTGTTCTACAGCAGCCTCGGCTAGACGTGTTCCTAGGCCTATTCAGGACCAGCGGATATCAGTGATATATTTATACTAGGCTAGTCCGTAATGCTGCTTCACCTGACGTCTACTAAAGTTAACGACAAATAAATGAAATGCAAGTGAACGAAGTCCAAACAGCAACCTTGCACACACTCTTGCAGTAGACAGTGTGAGTGCTGATGATACTATCTGGCTTCCCAAACCTCGGCAGGTAGAATGGTGTTCGAACCCAATAGTTGGAGGTCATCTCTCTAAACCAATGAGCAATAACTCTGTCAGTGACAAGACTCCTACGCTGTTTCTTCCGTCACGGTAGATCTTAGATTAATCCACAGAAGTTTTCATCCCTTCGAAACAGTTCACAAAAATGGGCAGTTGAGCCCTTCAAGCATACAACTGTTTGAAGGGTCACCATGAAGCCCCAGCCGAAGCTTGTGGACTGATTGTCCAGCTCTCAAAAGGAGCTGCCGTGTTCACCCTCCACACAGGGTACAAAACGACTGCTGTAAATCTGACCACTTACTGAGGATAGCAAAGTAACGGAAAAAGATTGCATCATCCGAGTGAGGAAACACAAAGCCTAGAAGTGCAAGAATTGATATGCTCACTGACTTGTGATCAACCGAATATCGCAAGTGTACTGACCTCATAAAAGAACATTTTTTCTGAGAGCTTGCTATGCTTATTACCTTACTTAGCTTGGCTCATTTCTTTGAGAAGCTAGAGACACTTGCACACTAGACGACTAAACCATTCGAGTGAATTTCAAACCTATTAATGGAAGCTTCGGTATTATTTCAATTGCAACATACGAACACTCACCACTTATAGACTTCTCTGACCTGCTGCTAACTGAGATTTCACTATTTCCTGTTTTTTATATTCGATCGGCTGAAGACAATCCTTACACACGAACACTCCGACTCATTGATGTTTACAAGCATTTCACGAGGGTTGTCCTCCTATCTGCTGCCTTCAACAGTCAAAATGTATTCAGCAAGAACTGCTCGTTTTGTCCTCTTCCCACTAAATTAAAACTTAGAGGGTGGGTAACAGCAGCATCAAATGCACTTATTAATACCTATAACTACCACGTCTGGGACAGTGAATACAACCTCTGTTAAGTACTCGGACAGGTGCATCGTATAACAAGGACCTCACATTCGGAGTAACTTTTGAGTGAGAAGCTTATTGGTCATGATACAATTCAAGAGTGAACTTTGCATGGAAATCTAACTCCACCCACAAATACCTAAGGCTTTATGTTTTCTTACGATTCATAGTTGTAATTATTGATGCCTGTGACGCCTGACAGAGACCATATTACAATAACATGGTTTCAAAATGAAGTGGAACGAAACTCAACGTCGTTTGAATGTATTTGCGCCATACGACGAATAGGAAACCAATAACTATGGTGATACAGATACCCAGCAAGCGTTGCGTAGTTGATCAAAAAAGTAATAGGTGATGCTGCAGGACAGTTGAGCAAATACTACAACTTTAGAGAACACAACCGATTGACAGACTGATTTTGTACAAACCATCGATAATTTCAAGAAAAACAGACAAGTCTATCCTTAGGTGGGCACAGCAGCTAGCATACTAAGTACTTGACGCTAGGACCTATTGCAGCACCAGTCGAATACAAACGGCTCACATACACACACCACGTAAATTCTGAAAAGGTAATAACTACCCAGCACAAGATAAAACAGTGCATTAAAACGCAGCAAACAGAGTAATTTCGATCTTTATTACAAACCCAAAATTCAAACGGAAAGTGACAGGTATTTGGGGCACATGTTTTAACCACCAGCGACAAGTGAAAATGCTAGAAAGATCTGCAAGGAAAACTAAGTTACAAACTAGCTTTACAAATAGTCACTATCTGCGAAATCTAGGGAGTTGGTTTCTTTGGAAGTCGGAAATCAGCGTACAGCTCTTTGAACTTATCGAACCCAGCCAACACACCAGCGCCGGCAACACCTCGTAATATGTTTGCACCAGCACCCTTCATGAAAGACATAGCGCCTTCATTTTTCATTATTTGGGCAGCACATTGAATAGAGCTTTTGTACTTAACAGCCTGACCTAACAAAATCAACTGGGAACACTTAGTTTACCTGAAGTCATCATCATGCGTCGACGTATAGTGTCAATAGGATAAGATATCAATCCGGCAGTAACAGTAACACCGTAACCCAAAAAGAAACTCATTGTCACACCAGCATCAGATCCGAGGAAGATGGGTTTCAGAGTATCATATAACCCGAAGTAAAAACCTCTATATACGACAATCCCGACACATGATATAACGAAGCCTCTATAAAGGCCAGCGATACCATCAGACTTTAAGGTTTTGCTGCAGTGAAATATAAATCATATTATTCACCTTACGCATAGACATCAATCAACCCGTTGAACTCACGAGTCCCACCTTTCTTAGCAGACTTGTTGTCATTTGCCAATCTTGTTCGAGCATAGTCTAAGGAATAGACAAAGATAAGTGACATAGCTCCCGCTGCTCCGCCACTGACAACATTTTTGTAGAACGACACCAAGTACGGGTCATCTTTGGTCTGCTTGAAAGCTGATTTCACTTTATCCTTAAAAGCGAAATTCAACGCTTGGGTAGGAAAGTATCGCAAACAGTTTGGAAAATTCCCACGCCAAAAAGGTAATATGCCTAAAGTAATAATTTGTATGCACAATTTCATACCTTCAGACCTAAATGTCCGCATAGTACAGTCAATAACACCAGAGTATGGCCTATCCAGACGTCCTTGTTTGATCATTTCATCTTGATTCTGTACCAATAATTTTACACGCTCTATTGGAGCAGCTGCAGTTTTAGCAATGACAGCAGCTGCGCCGCTAAGTAGGAAGTTCTCAAAGAAACTGAGTCCCTTGATTTCTTTGCCACCTTCTCCCATTTTGTTAATACGATAACTTGTGCTGTCCGAAGTGCGCTCCGACTGAGAGGCCGACAAAGATGTTCTGAAAGTGCAAGTAAGCAATTAAAACAAACTGACTTTTATGTACAGCTTAAGTGGACCTTGAGGTTTAACTCAAATAGTTACTGAGAAAGTCAATTTGTAAAGCACTTCCGTAATAAAGTTAGAAGACCTTGACGCTATGAAAATGACCAGGTGGTAATATTCATTAAGAAATGTAGCTGTAATATCTTGCCATACTCAGCTGATTACATCTGACATCATTAGTGCAAGCGTAGAAAACTGGTAATTTTTGTTCTATCACGTCTTGTTCTCGAGGCTTGGATTTTGGTTTTCAGATTGCTTCTACAAGTGGACAGGGAGATATCCTCACAATAATAAAGATAATATATTTCGAATAATGAATTATGCGAGCACATGCCATTTTTACAGGCAACACCCTCTGCTTCCTGCTCTTAGTCTAAGTGAGGTGAATGGTTCTATCAGTTGGTAATTACAGTTTGTAGATTCTTTAAGGAGCTAAGGGTTGCTGAGGAGATTCGAGGTCTTCCGTGATTTCTATCCGTGTACGCCCCTAAATAAGAAAAGGTAGATAGCGGGAAAAGGTATACAGGAATTATCCGAGGGATAAAAGTAGATGGAATGCGTCTAGTTACTGGAGAAGAGTTGGTATATAATGTAGGTGTGTCAACAAGATGGAGCGATAAATAGGAAGGAAGTAGTAGAGACTGAATGTGGCTGGTAATATGATGAGTACATCTGTGGCAAGCCATGAGAAACGGCTTAACCGCTTAGCAGTCTTTTGAATGAGTTCAGTCAGGAGGCTGCGACTACATACTGCCATACGTCATTCCACAAAGCGCATACGCTTAAGAAGTTTGTCCTGGATCGTTGTTATCTGTCTGATGTGCTATCTTGATGGAGTTCTCTCGTGACAACCGCCACGTCACCAGTAAGGTTAGTTTTCTTACGCGATCTACCTGAGAGATGATCCCGCAGGCCATAATAAGGTCGCCCCTCTTACTGACATGGCTCAAGGTTTGGGTTTTTCAGTTTTTCAGAGTTTGCCCTCCCACTTAGTCCCACAACTTTTTTCTTTTAGACCTTTGTATTTTCTGAAGGATATTGGGGTCTCTTCTGAGAGTCGGAGGGCTGTCGTATTGAAGACCTCCGAGTGTGAACGTAGGCATGGCATGAAAGCCATGAGAAACAGTTCGGGAGTGGGAACACTAAGCTGTCTACTCAGAAAGTGTGAAGCGATGCTTGATATGCCCGTCACATCTCAATATATTTGGAGCTGGTGCTGAAGATGTCTGAGCGGTTGAACCCCCAATGTTTTCCGCAGATATCTTGGTGACTCAACCTGTACCGGAGTTCCGTCGTCTTTGCTTCGCGGATACCGACCTACTTCACCTCGCACCTTTCTAGGTTACAGTTAAAGCCATTTTACGACGATAGGAGTTTAATTGGCTGGAGGTAATTTTATGTCACAGAACTTGTGGGTGAGCGAGATTTTTTGTGCTAGATGGTTGACGTACAGGACGAACGGAAGTGGTCCCAGGATTCCTCCTTGGGGTGCTAACGATGTTGATGGTCTCCACTCCGACCTTATTATGTCTGCTTCGGTGCAAAACTGCCTGCCTTCTCGGTAAGCCTTGAACTGAAAAAGCAGGGGTTCACTCATGTCTGCCAGCGTGAACTTGTGAAACAGGACTGCAAATGAGACACTGTCAATTGCTTTTGCTGGGTCAAGAAAAATAACTTGCACTAGTTGTCTGTTGTCCCAGCTAAAAGTTTAGTCATCCCAGGCAATCAGCTAGTTGGCAATGCATGAATGACCACTCCAAAAGCCTTGCTGAGTAGTATGAACGGTGTTTTTCCTCTTAAAGGGTTCTAAGACCTGGTCGGATATCAGGCTTCTTGATACTTTGGGCAACACGGGGAGTACAGCAATCGTTCGTAGCTGCCGAAAGGTCTTCTGTCTCCTCCCTCGAAGATGCGTGACAAGATCGCACACTTCCATCATTCAAAAAGTCTGCGAGATTCTAGAGAGTTCATGAAGAAATCGCAGATTGGGTTTGAGGACGCCTCGATACAGTTCTGCAAGATTACCAGTCCCAGGTCATAGCAGCCAGGGGACTTACCAAGACGGAGGCTAAATAGTCTCTCCAAAACATTTTTGTGATGACGATGTGGTAAAAGAATTCGTTGTTCATGGTCTGACTAGTGTCATGTTGCGCCGTTGCATATTTAATGTCAGGCGTTCCAAGTCGCGCTTCGAAGTATCAGCTCAGGAGCTCAGCTATCTCTAGACTGCTTGGTGCATCTTCACCGGGACCTGCGATAAGGCTGCTTTCTCTTCAGGTGGACACTCTTTTTGACATGAGGCGGTATGGGCCTTTAGGGTCACTTTTCAACCTCCCTGTCAGGTTCGTTAGGTACCAAAACTTGTCGTTACGAAATCCTATTTCTCAGAGGATGAGAATTCTTTTGTACTTCAATAAGTCGGAATTCCATTTAAGCTGGGCCTGCCTTTTGGTCTGAGGTAGCCACCCTCTCCCACGCCTTACCCATGAGGCCCTCATTGACGGGGACCATGTTACCTATGGCATGTTGTCTGTAGGCCCCTCGCCTGAAGGTTGCAGGGGGACTCCAGTGGTTGTGGTTTCAGTATTCGATGTACCCGACTCACTGACTTATGCCAGTGTGGCAGCCACTAACTCTAGAGGTCTTGGCGGTTGACGTTTCTCTCCTTGCCTTGTGGATCTTGGCCCCTCTCACGCATACGTAACTGACCCCCGTGCGGTCTTTCACGCTAGGCCATATGCACAGAACGTTTGTGAACGAGTTATGTGCGTTGAATCGGGTGGCGAGTAGCCAAGGGGCGGGGTGAACTTAAGGTGTGTCGGTTTCGGTATTCTGCTGACGCTGTTAGCCGATATACTGTCAAGACCAGCCTTGTTTGAAGGCCACTGGCATCGTTATGCGTCATGAAGGCTCCGATCTTTAGCAGAGCGATCACTTGACAATTCCAGGATCACAAGCGAAACCGTGGTGACTTTTGCACTTGAACTTTCAACCGTGAACCCTCCTCCCCTTCGCTTACAGTGGCCCTGGTTGGCCCCATAAAACTTGTGCGGTTTCCACGGAAGGTGCTTGGCTGTTCGTGCTCGTTATCTTGCCATTAGAAGCGCGGTTCTACATTACCCCTAGTTAGGCACAAATACCACTGCAAGTGGCCAGTCGTGAAGTTAAATGGTTGGCGGGCAATTAAGTCTTTTTGTTAGTTTCATTCATCTACTTTTTTCGCAAACGGCGAACATAGAATAAGATTTAACGGCTGCATCCATGGGTGATAGGGTCGTGTGCAAAAACCGCCACACCAATAAGCTCGTTTCTATCTTTATATCCTGTGAGGTTCTGTGGGACTTTTCTATAACTTGCTAATTTGACCCCCAAGCGATTGTTTGCATCACCAAACGAACTTCCCGTTGAGATCCCTAGGTCGTAGCAATTAATCCGATACTACCTTTCGGTCTTGCACTGTTTGGCTACTACTGTGTCGTTGCTTTCCCTCCCCAACACTCATCAGCGCTTATTCGTCATGCCGCATTCGTCATTATCATATTTATGAGTGTGTAGCTTCACACAATTCCCCAAAATCAATAGCCTAGGGTTCGACGATATTCAACACTGATGCTGACTTTGATAGTTTAACTGGTCTCGATAGGCTGAAGGCACCCGGTCAAGCATCCTTGCCATTTGGCACGCTGTCGTGCTACATTGCACTGCTCGTATTCACTCTCTAGCTAGTTAGTTGGAACGCATCGGTATCTTGGCACAACCACCCAAATATACTATTCCATCCGACTACGCTATCTTGTTCTTCCTTGGTCTTGTATTCGTGGGTATACAACAATTTCGAATAATCCGTGATTGGTCTTTGCGTGTATCAGATTCGCACCAGGACAATTCCTAAGAGTGGTCTATTCTCAAAATTGGCACGCAATGAAATGGTGAAGAACCCTTAGTCACTTGCCGTCATTGTTCCCATATAACACGGGAATCTTGTTTCTCGGTGTCTTCTTTGGTGTCCTCAAGATGCCACGGAAAGCGTTTTCTGGTCCTAAACGGGGAACTGGGTTTAAATTGAAAACTGCCGTTCGATAGGTGTCTAAAACCCCCTGGAGAGAGATTAATGGTACGATTCCTGTGATGCCTGGACCATCGAAGGGGGAAGGCCGCAGGAGCTAGCCTCTTCCCCGTGATATCTTGGAATATTAACCATGGCATAAAGAGTTTAAGGATATGAATTCGGACCCGACTTTCCTCTTACCTATTCCTCCCATGAGGTCTAACTGCCCCAGAAAACAGAACAAAAGTGTACAACTACCAAAGACGGACGTTGTCTCCTTAAAATACAGGAGTTGGCCTGAGTAACTGCCGTTCCAAATAGTTTCAAGTGGCTAGTGATGGGACAATTTCGTCTTTCACCGTAATGGCATCCAGGTGTGAAGTCATCAGATGGCTGGTCCCTGTACCTGAGAACCTTGATGGGCCAAAGATAGAACAAATGGAAAAAGAACGGTTTGGTGGCAACTTAATCACCATGCTCAGACCGTGAATTTGAATGAACATTGAGTGCGCTCTTGAAGTTCAGTCGCGATATAGGCCTTAAAGACGACCGCGAGGACATAGTTTTGGGCTCGAAAAACTCCCTATGAGTAAACGTTACTCTTAGGACCAACCTTCAAAGGAATTTGTACTGATGGCAGAGACTGATTCATGCCCGGCAGAATAGAATAAGATCGACAGGTCTACTATAAAAGAGTCACCCAGAGGTCAAACTACCGAATTTTCCACCTCGTGTTTCGTATCCAGCTCACCCTTCCTTTAAATTGTTTGGATCGCTCATTTACGTATATCGACAGTATCGGCTACCGATGTGCACTTTTAAAAGTGTCATGTAACGCCTTCAT